CTTCGTTCCCTTTTCCCTTTTCATTGGATGAGGTTAGCTCCAAGATGAAGTCAGCTAGCGCTTGGGACTTTATCGCCTGCCTGGGCTCATACGCAATGTCAAACTCAGAGAGTTCGACTGCCCAGTTTATCATTCTGCCAGCGAGGTCCGGCTTGTGGAGGACTTGCCTGATGGGCTGATTCGTTCGCACAATAACTCGGTGACTCTGGAAGTAAGGTCGGAGCCTCCTTGTCGTGGTAAGCAGTGCGAATGCGACTTTCTCGAGCTTCTGATAACAAAGCTCAGGCCCTTGCAAGGTTCGACCTACAAAGTAGATCGGCTGCTATGATTTGTCATTCTCCCGTACCAGGGCGGCACTGACGGCCTCTTCCCTAACTGATAAGTACAAGATCAGCGTTTCTCCGGGCTCTGGTTTGGACAGTACAGGAGGAGTGGCCAGACAACTCTTAATATTTTCGAATGCATTCTTGCATTCTTCTCCCCATCCGAACTCAGCTTCCTTTTTGAGGAGCTTGAAGAAAGGCAAAGCCTTTTCTGCCGATCTAGGCAAGAATCTGGTTAGGGCCGCAAGACGTCCTGTGAGCTGTTGAATTTCTTTTTTGCTTTCGGGCTGCTTCATTTCAAGCACGGCCCTACACTTGTCGTGGTTCACTTCCATTCCTCGGTTGGTAAGCATGAAGCCCAGGAACTTTCCAGCTGGCACCCCAAAAGCGCATTTCGCCGGGTTCAGCCTGATCCTGTGAGCTCTCAACTGCTCAAAAGTTTCCCTGAGGTCGTTTATATGTGCTGACATTTGCAACGACTTGACAATCATGTCGTCGATGTATACCTCTAGGTTTCTTCCGATCTGCCCTTGAAAAACGCGGTTCATCATCCGCTGATATGTCGCCCCTGCATTTTTGAGGCCAAAAGGCATGACTTTGTAACAAAAATTGCCATTCTCAGTGATGAAGGCGGTTTTTTCGTGGTCGTCGGGGTGTAGTGGAATTTGGTTGTACCCCGAGTATGCGTCCATAAACGATAGTAGCTGAAATCCTGACGAATTGTCAACTAGCTGGTCAATGCTCGGCATGGGGTATGAGTCTTTTGGGCAGACCTTATTGAGGTCGGTATAGTCCACGCATATCCTCCATTTCCCGCTTGGCTTTTTTACCATCACTACGTTAGACAGCCAAGTGGTATACTATATTTCCCTCACGAATCCGGCTGCTAGCAGCTCGTCGACGTGCTCATTCAATGCATGACGTCGGTCGGACCCTATCTTCCTCTTCTTTTGGGATACTGGCAGTGAACCGGGGTACATGGAGAGCTTGTGGCAGCAGAAGGTTGGGTCAATTCCAGGGATTTCTGAAGTTTTCCAAGCAAATACATCGCGGTTTTTCTTTAACAAAGAAACCAGCTCCTCTTTGAATTCGGTCCTTAGGTCTTTTCCCACCTTGGTGTGTCCTTTGTTGTTTTCCGCAATATCGGCATCCTCCAACTCTCCTTGGGGTTCTGGACGAGGTGCCAAGAGCTCCTCTCTTACGTCGAGTTCAACCAAGTTGACCTCTCTTTCGCATGTCTTCAGTGATTGGTCCTTAGTTCCTCCTTCTTTAAGCCGAGTTGGAGATGATGGACCTCCATGATGGACTCGTAGAGTCTCGTAGTAGCACTTTCTTGATTCTTCTTGATCACCTCTTATGGTGACGATCTCGTTGTTCATCCCAGGCATTTTCAATGCTTGATGTTTTGTGGAGATCAGCATATCCCATTCATGGATTGTGGGCCGACCAATGATTATGTTGTAGGAAGACGAGGTGTCCACCACAACGAAACGAACCCTTCCAGATCGGAACGAGTCCTTCGTGCCCAAGGTCAACTTTAGGTCGATGTAGCCTTTTGGAAGGGACGCCGCTCCGTTGAACCCGACCAGCTCGTTGACACATGGTTTTAAGTCCTTCTCGTCGAGGTTCATCCTCTGGAAAACGTCCCAGAGAATTATGTCGGCTGAACTTCCGTGGTCGATAAAGATTCTCTTCACTAGGCAATTGACTAGCACTCCGGTGATCACCAATCCGTCGGTGTGTCCGGGTACAACCATTGCTAGTTCCTCCTGAGTGAAGAACAGTCTCGGGGGAGCCGGTTTGCTGTCCTTTTCTTTGAATGTCGGCCTGTCTCTTACAGACATGACCTCTTTTAGGTACCTTCTTCTGGCGTTAGCTGAGTCTCCTCCCCCACCTAGAGCTCCACTTATCACGTTGCATTCGAATTCGGCTACAGGAAAAGCCTCGTCCTTTTCATCGACCTCTTTGCCTTTGGAAGGTCGGTCTTGTCTTTGGTCCTTTCGATCGTCTCTCTTTGGGCTTCGACTTCGGCTTCGGCTTCTTTGCTTGCGCTTATTACTTTTCTTGCCCTGTGTTCGGATGATATACTGCTTTAATTTTCCCTCCCTGACGTGCTTTTCAATTGCATCTCGGAGGTCCCAGCAATCATCCGTAAAGTGACCATTTTGGTCGTGGAATGCGCAGTATTTGCTTCTATCTAGTCCGAACTTGGATTTGAGGGGTCGAGGTCTCTCGACATTGCGCATTTCGGTCTGTGCTACCTCTTTCCATATCTTGGATCTGGACACGTTCAGCGGTGTATAATCGTCATACCTCCTCCTTGGTGATCGATCTTCCGACCTTTTATCAAGAGTGTCCTTTGCTTTTTTGGATCCCTTCTGGTCCCGGTCTTTGTTGTTTTTCCTACTCGGGCTCCGACGTGTAGGGCTTCGTCCTCGTGATTTGACATAAACCTTTTGCATGTCCTCCACGTCAATGTATTTGTCCGACCTTCTCCTGAACTCCTCCAGATCGTTCACCGGGTTCTTATAGATGGATCTCGCTAATGGGGAATTGCCATCCAATCCCGAGATGATTAAGTGGAGGTGCACTGCTTCAGTTAACCCTCGTACCTTGAGGGCAGCATCCTTGAATCGGTCGAGGTATTTCCTCAGTGATTCGTTCTCCTTCTGCCGGATTCTTCCTAAAGCATAGGCTGGCATCGGATGCACCTTGCTTGTTGCAAAGTTAAGTCAGAAAGTCCGAGCTAGGTCCTCAAACGAGTCGATTGAGTTCCTAGGGAGCCTGGTTATCCAGGTCATCGCTTGACCAGTCAGCGTTGTCGCAAAGATCCTGGCCTTAATAGGTCCAGTGATCCCGTTGAATAACATCTTGGTTTTAAAAGCCTCTAAATGGGCTTCTGGGTCCTGACTTCCGTCGTATGGAGGTATCCTGGTGCTCTTGAATCTCGGCGGTATGACCAAGTTCATGAGCCTCTCAGTGAATGGGCTATCGTTAGCCTCTTCATCCTCCAGATAATTTTCGTCCTGATTGTCGTTCGGCCCACCACCATTCCGGTTGTTACCGAGGTTAAGGTTCTGCCCATTCTGCGCGTGTCCTTCGAGTGTAGCCGCGTTCTGTTGCCGCGGTCCTCTATCGCCAGCATTGTCGGGCCTTCTAGGTCGATCTCCAACGTTTTGATGCTGGAGGTCTTCAGCATTCTGATGCTGGGTGCCTTCGGCGTTCTGATGTACGCCTTCGGCATGTTGCTGCTGAGGTCGGTCGTTTACGACCCCTCCGGCTCCCCTAGTCTGGCCTTCCGCGTTCAAGGTCCTCAGTTCAGCCTCCAATGTCGCCATCCTTTGGGCATCCATACGCTGCTGGGTCAGGAATCTGTTTTCCATCTCTTGCAACCTTTGAAGGATTGCTCCCATGGCCATGTTTGTCATGTTTAGTGGCTCACTGTGTGGAGGCGGACGAACTGCAGCAATTGTTGCATTCGGCTGGGGTCTGGGAGTCGGTCCTTGAGTTCCGACCTCGCCGACCTGTACCTCAACCAGCACCGGGTTTGCTTCCAATTGGGGCTGTTCCGAAGCAGGTTGGTGTTGAGGCATGCCATAAGGCTGAGACTGTGGTTGACGCGGCGGTATTTGGGAGGTATTAGACATCGAACGTGTGTTCGTCATCGTGGAATGGGAGTCAAAATTTATCGAGTCCCCACAGACGGCGCCAATGTTAGGTCCTGGATAAACCGTATTGCTATACCGTATGGTATGCGCTCAGAGATAGTGTATACTGAGTGTATACTAGGTTTATTGCCGAGGTCCCAATCACTGCGCACAAACAATAGGCTTATAGCCAAGGGGTGGGTGTGTGCACAGTGTGGGCAGTATTAGTAAATAGGTTCAAAAGTGTATACCTAGGGTCTTTAACCTCTTATTTATAAGGGTTACCTCTTGGGCTTGTGTAGATCTCCCAGTTGTAGTAGGATTTAACTTCCTTTCTGTTGGGATAAGGACTTTATCCTTAGCAGCCTTACTGTTTTATATTGTTAGGATAATTGGGTAGTTATCCTTTAAGGAATCCTTGGGTAGTTGGGATATGATATTCATATCCATAACAAATTCTAATAATGCTTAAGTTCCAGTCTCCAGAGCTTTGGTCAATCAAGTCCATACACTTTAGGTGAGTCACCTCGTTATCTAACATCTTTTTTTAAGCTAAAAGTTATTTTTATGTTAAAATTGAAAAATAAAATAATTTTTTTTAGTGATTATATAAAATTGTTATGATGGTTTTGAAACGAGAAAAATAATATAATTTATCATTAAAATGAATTATTAAGATAAATGATAAAATATATAAATACAAATTTAGAATAAGGATAAAACTATACGATCAATGAGGAGTCAAAAAAAACACATATATTTTTAAAGAAAGATCCTATTTGAAACTTTTAACTTTTAACTTTTTTTTCATTATAATTTTTTTAATAATAAAAACTTTTATAAAAATCTATTGATCTTGCTATTACTTAAAAAAGAAAAGAAACTAAAAAAACTGCGAAACAGGCACTAAAACTGGTTTAGAAATTGGTATTAAAGTGATGGGCTCACTTAATTGAGCTAAAAAGCCCAAATGGATTATCATTGAAGAGAGAAGGATAGAGACCCAATAAAAACAAAAGAAAAGAACGAAACGGCAATGATTTTTTTCTCGTGCTTCTCATCTCATCCTCAGTTTCAAACAGTTTCTCTTCATTGTTAGATCTCATCTAAACTTACATTCACCGGCGACTCCACCTGGCTCCGCCGTCCACGGAAGTTCCGGCCGCCACCTTTCGCTTCCTCACTCTCTCCCTCCCTCTCTCCTTCTTAACAGGTCCCTCCTCTCTCTCTCTCTCTCATGCATATTACCCACTCGATCTGTTCAAATTTCAAAGTAGATCTTCAGATTTCATCTCCATTTCACGCTTCTTCATATTCATCAAAAAACCCTATGTTTACGGGATACTCTTCCTATGTTTTTTTCTTTCTGGGGTTTGTTGTTTCTAATTTTTCGAATTGCTCGCGATTCTTTAAATCAGCTATCGATCAAGCTTCGCACGGATTTTAATTTCAATTTTTTTTAATGTGGAATTTGGTGCAATTTTTTGTTTAAAAATAAAAACTTTTGCTTTGTCTTGATTTTTGCACTGGGTTTTCAACTTTTCACCAGCTTGTGAATATATAGATATATTATTATATTTTGGGTATGATGTTTTGGTTAGTGGATTCATAATTAAAGTGAATTGTTAGTTGAAGCTTGAATAGTTGCTTGCATGGAAAATGATGTTGATCTTTTTATTGATTGTATTGTATCTTATGTCTATGGTTTTGTTGACCCTTCATTGTCTTTGATTTTAGATGAGTTTTACTTTTATAACATTGGAAATGACAAGTTAACAGAGGGTTTTGTTTAATATAGTGTAGGTTAGGTTCGTTTGCAAATGTTTGCGTGTGAAACTAATTGTTTGAATTATGTGTATGCTGACAGCAGAAATATGCCTGCTCAGAAGGTTGAAACGGGTCATCAAGACACAGTCCATGATGTTGCAATGGATTACTATGGTAAGAGGCTGGCTACGGCTTCATCAGATCACACAATTAAGATAATTGGGGTTAGCAACACGGCCTCTCAGCATCTAGCAACTCTAACTGGTCACCAAGGACCTGTTTGGCAGGTCGTATGGGCTCACCCGAAATTTGGTTCTCTACTCGCTTCGTGTTCCTATGATGGGCGGGTCATTGTTTGGAAGGAGGGTAACCAAAACGAATGGACTCAAGCTCATGTCTTTGATGACCACAAGTCATCTGTGAATTCAGTTGCTTGGGCACCTCACGAGTTGGGTCTTTGCTTGGCTTGTGGTTCATCTGATGGGAATATATCTATTCTCACTGCAAGAGCAGATGGTGGCTGGGACACCTCGAGGATTGATCAAGCTCACCCAGTTGGTGTAACTTCTGTGTCATGGGCCCCCTCAATGGCACCTGGTGCTCTTGTTGGTGCAGGGTTGCTTGATCCTGTTCAGAAGCTTTGCTCTGGTGGTTGTGATAATACTGTGAAGGTATGGAAGCTCAGCAATGGACTCTGGAAGATGGACTGCTTCCCTGCTCTTCATATGCATACAGATTGGGTTCGAGATGTTGCTTGGGCACCCAATTTGGGACTTCCTAAATCTACTATTTCTAGTGCATCACAGGATGGTAAAGTGATTATATGGACTGTGGCCAAAGAGGGGGATCAGTGGGAAGGCAAGGTTTTGAATGATTTCAATACCCCTGTTTGGAGGGTCTCATGGTCATTGACTGGAAACATACTGGCTGTGGCGGATGGTAACAACAATGTGACATTATGGAAGGAAGCAGTAGATGGGGAGTGGCAACAGGTGACAACAGTGGAACCATAGAATATGATTTTCAGTTCTTGCTTATTAATTTGAAATTATGGTTAGAATTTTCATTTTGAAATATAGTTGACACCTTGTTTCTTTGCATATTATACAGTTGATTAATTGTGCTTCATAATGCATTAGTTCCTTGAAGCTTGTGATCCATTGAACATTCTGTGCTTGCAAGAATGATGTTGAATAGATTGAGTTGTTTCTCTTTTATAGATTAGAAGGATGTTTTCCAAGTATATTACGTGACATTTCATTAGAACTTTGGATCTCTATCTATCATGGGAGTTGCATAAATTGATGGCTATTTCATTTAATTTTGGACGCACATGACTAATCTCCATTAGTGCATATCTATGTGCGGTTCCTATCTTTTGTTTTACAATTTATAGGTTAGTACTTCACAACTCTAAGCTCTTGGCAACAGTCTGTGCTTTCAAAACTGAGTTTGATGTATAGTGTAAGAATGATTTACATTTAATAGACAGGCAAAATCAACAGTGATATGCCTAATGCTCTAGGAATGATATGATTGTTAAAGGTAAGGCTTTTGTTTGCTTTTCTGTATGCGCTAGAAGAAAATTTCCTATTTTTCTGTTTTTAGTCCATTGATGAAAGTCTATCTTCCTCATGTAAATAACCCGTCCACCAAGTTTTCAGATGGAGTACCATGTTCTGTTACAAATACTCGTATAGCTGTTATTATTTTTCCTTAAAGTTTTAAATTTAATGATTCAAGAGGCGAGTCTCAAGTAGCGGTAAAAATTCAAGTCTCGAGCCATGGTAAAAGTTACTCCTTTGTGAAGAGAAGTCATGATTAGGGCAAGGGTAAGGCTTAGTATTAGGTTCTCGAGGAAGGATATTCTTACTACTAAAATTTTCTACTACTAACTTACTACCTATCTAATCACCATTGAATCAAAGAGAGAGAATGATAAAAAGTTTTTGAAAAAAGAGAAAATGTTGATCCAATGGTGATTAGATAGGCAGTGAGTTGGTAGTAGAAGATTTTAGTAGTAAAAATATCCATCCTCTAGGTTCTCACCCTCATCAAGTCTCGTTTAAATTCTAATGGTTTCTTTGTGGAATTTTGATCCACTGTAGGGTTTCAATATTAAACTGTCCTTTTATTAGGTAGCAGATTTCATGAAACTATTTTGAAGGTGGTTTATCTTCAATGATAAAATGTCTCTCTTTCTGGAATAATGACAGTATCTTATTTTGAACGAGAAACAGGAAGTATCATATTTTGAATGAGAAAGACAAAGGGCATGTTTAATTGTGTTTTTTTTTCTCTCTTAAAACTATTTTGTAAAATAATTAATGAAATATGTATTTTTTGTATTTTTCTTTTCTGTTTTGAATGTTAAAAGTCAAAACACAAAATAAAAATAACTAAAATACATTTTAAATTTGCTTCTAAAAATTAAAAAATAGGTATAATTTTTAAAATTATTTTTTCAGTTATATTAAATGGATTTTTTATTCTGAAAATATAAAAAATGTTTTTGAAAACAGAATTCAAACAGCCTAAAAAAGTACTCTTCTGCAAAAATTGAGTCTTCCACAGAAATTGATGTGTCCTTGTAAAAGGAAACTTGTACTTGCCTTAAGAAGATGATGATCCAAATTCATCTCTAATTGAACTTGATTTTATCTTGACTGCACTGGTGACGACCAAAATTTAGGCGTCTCTATGTAAACCACAGCAGCTATTCTAGTCTACTACTTAGGTAACGGGGTGCAGGGATTTTAACTATAGTTCTGAGTCTTTCATTGATCAAGAACACTGCTCTTCACGGTAGCCACGCGAGGCTTCTTTCTTTGCAGTATAATAAGCACGTTTAAAAATAAATAAATAAATCCTTTCTATCCATTTCACTATTTTCCCAACAGGTAGAGGCCAAATAACTAATGCACACAATTCTATCGATGGGATATATATATCATATCTAAAGGTGCCAAATATGCAGCAACGAAAGTATGGTTATGAGGTGGATATTTATCATTCTCCGTATTTAATGCTTTCACTTTTTGTATGGTTATGATTCCTCACATTAAATGCTTTAATCAATATATATGAAAAATTTGTCACTGCTGCACATAATGGCTGCAAAAAAATCGAACCTATATATATATATATATAGGGTTCATTTTTTCTGCAGTCAATTAGATAAGTTATCTATATAGAGCCTAAAACAACGTCATTTTGGATTGAAAATCAAGGTATTTTTATAATTATAATTTATTTCAGGTTTATAATAGGGTTTAGGATTATAAATTTTGAATCTTTTAATTCAAAATGACGTCGTTTTGGAAGTGAATTTAGATAACTTATTTACATTCACTGTATAAACATTAAAGCCATATATATATATATATATATATATATATATATATATATATAAAAAGACGTTGTTTTGAGAATAAATGTAGATAACTTATATGCAGTAACTGCAAAAATATTTTTCCCCATATATATATATGAGATATATATTTCTCAAGCTGCTTGAGATATATTTATCTCAATCACCTCAAAACTATGTCGTTTTATTTATTTATTTCCTTATATTAATTGATTCACTTTTAAATAGTTATGATTCCCTTTTTCTCTCTTTCTTTATCGTCATTGATCCATCTTTGTACTTTTATGATTTAGTGGCCGGAGAAAAAATTATCAAGCAATTTGAGAAACGATAAACTATATATATATATATATAATATATATATATATATATATATATATATATATATATGGGATATATTTTTCTTATGTTGTAGGAAAAGAATTATCTTATGTTGTAGAAACAAAAGTATAAGTGGGACCCACATGTAAGAGGAGAGAGAGAAAAAAAATGGTGGGACCCAATCCTTTTTTGTGTGTGTAGGAGAGATGTTTATCTCATGTAAAATGAGATAAACATAACCCTATATATATATATATATATAAGGATCTATTTATTTCATGTTGCATGAGATAATTATCTCATGCAACAGAGATAAGATAGTGAAATCCACTACTTTTTCAAAAAAATAAAAATAAATAATGAACTCCGTTATTTACTCTTTGTTACGTGAGATAAATAAAAAAGGGGAAAAGACGATGAAACAAATTTTCTCATAAAAAAACTTAACTTCTCATCCAGTTTGAACCGAGACCTTCGCGAAATTGGGAGCAATATATCAAAGAATTGGGTAATTAGGGATTCACAAACTACATTTCTTTTAAGGCCATTATTCATAAAATATTATGAAACGCAAATAAGATTCTTCAAGAAATGCCCACGGTTTTCCCAAGCAGCCAAAGAACTAGCGATAGCTCGATTCCGAATATGGTGTGCAGCGTACTCCTATCCAACATGAATCCATACACTGTAATTCCCGCCTTATTGTTCTCAAAATATTTTACTGCAAAAATGATCAAATAATAAGAAAAACTTTAGTCAATCAACATTCATAATAATCATGATATGATGATTCAATAAACATGTATATTCATTACAAAAAATATCAAAACATTACTTGAGAATTTCTTGGGGGGTTATATTGTAAGCAATGCATGAGCTCTTTTTCTTATCCTTCAACCTTTCTTTTTTAATTAAAACTGGAGAAAGAATATGCATTCTTTATAGGGAAATTTTTGTCTCAAGGAACAAACAAATAGTGAATGAGTATGTATTACATGAAACAAATTATGTCATGCAACATGATAAACATACTCCCTTTATATTACTAAATTGTCTCAAAATACATAAGAAGTAATAATTGGGTGTGAGAAAATTACCAAGAGCTTGTCTCTTCTGATATGAGATGGTGCTATAAGCGTAGGATGGGATTAACCTTGTGTTATCAATCTCATCTTCTTCATCACCTACTTCATCAGTCTCTGATTCCCCATCTGTTCCCACATTAGGAAACACTCTTTCTTGAGAAGCCTGAGCCGTTAATGTTCCACCTTCGGCCACTACATCAAATGAATCCAACGTTGCACAAACATGCCACTTGGCAGCAAGCCCTGTTATCGCTTGTGCTTTGTGTGTTATCTTTGTGGCACTACGTAACAAGATGGACAATGCAGAAAGAAGCGTCACCGAGCACAGCTGCACCAGAATATTTAATCCCCTACAAAGTTAGGACCTGTTTGGTTTACCACTTTTATATTGATTATTAAATGTTTTCTTCTTGTCTTTTTCTATTATTTTATGGACTCTATTATGAAGGAACAAGAAATTAATAATAAATAATGTCTAACTCGACAAAGGAACATGGGGTCAGTCCAGATTGCATAAAAATGGACCCAACTTCTTCAAACTTGAAATGATTTCAATCACACAAACTTTTATTTATTGAACTCATTGAAATCTTGTATATAAACTATGTATAGTTAACAGATGTCGACACGTACATGCGTAAGTTTATAAAATGATTTAAAGAAGTAAAATGAAATTTGACTTTAATGCATTCTCATCAATATAAGAAATCTGTACATTTTACATCCAATGATGTCATTATATCATATACATGTAATTTTCTTTACACTAATAATATATGAAAATTATATTCTAAAATAAAAGAATTTAAAAGAAGAGGAAGAAGAAAATAATGTAGCAAGTATTCTGACGAACTTTATTTTTGTCTTTGTGCTTATTTATAAGTTAAGAAATATATACTTCACATTTTTTAAAACATATTAACAAATATTTCAATAAAATAAAACATTATGTGTTACCCTAAAGATTTTTGAAACTTTGTCCAATTAACAATGTCAGATTACCTATATCGAATCAAATAATCAAAAAATATTTTTTTTTTTACAAATTGAGAGAAAAAAATATTAGATGAACAAATAATTCTTTCCCTCCAAAATAGATGTGCCAAATGAATCATTCCAACCTGATTGTAAAAGCCATTTTCATATCTTGATTCAATTATTTTTATAATTTTTTTTTCAAATTAAAACTGTCTCAACGACCAAACTTTCAAGGTACTTTTACTCTTAACTAACATTTTTTGATACATCAAATTTTAGGCAGTAAGAAGATTGTATGTCCCAACCTTAATTCCATGCATAATGTAGGTAATCTTAGTAACAATATACAATTATTACTAAATTATTTAATTAACGTCAATAATGGAAAAATTAACAATATTTAAAAAAGAAAAGGGTAAAGTAGGTGCATACCGCAAGCTCGCCGGTTTTGTAGATTTTGGCATCATGTGCAGTCGAAGGCTTGGTTGTGACGAGAAGGCACGCAAACTGGCTTCCAGTGACCAATCCAAGCGCGAGTACTATAAACGCGCGAAACCTGTGGCTTATGATTCGCAGGTGCCTCCTGATCCTAAGGTGCTCCGACAGCACAGATGCCACATCAGAGTCCACGTGGAAAAAATATGCGAAGTCCTGCAGCCGTAGGATCTGAAGGTGGCAGATCAAACGGAAGAGAACGCACACCAGGAAGATCACTGTGGTACGGTACAGCCAGGAGCACAATTCCAATATGCACGCAACCGCATCACTAACGAACACGTTTCCCAAGAAGGGGATTTTTGAGGCTCCTGATGCGTACCACCATATCTTGTATGCACACTCAGCCATAAAGCATGGCACCACAAACACTGACAAGATCTTTAGTGACCTCTGCACCAGATCACACACATACACTATTTATATCAATAAAGCTATATATACATCACTTATTATATATAATTTTTATTATTGATGTGAAGTAATGTGTGAGTCTGTTAAACTATTTGATTTTACTTCTATTTGTAATAAAAAAAAATTAAGACTTTTCAATATTTGTATACATATTGATCTTATTTTTATATAAAAATCACTCCCAAAGGGCCCTGGGGTAGTGAAGAACAACTCTTATACATAATTTTGTCTCTATATAATTATAAAGGGATTGTTTTTTGGATTTAAATAAATGATATTTCAGTTACAAAAGATTAATTTTATCACTGTTTGAGATTCACCCTCCTATTTTTATATATTATATGAAAATTATTAGAGAAATATAATATCAAATTACAAATGTATCTTTTACATAGTAATTTAAATTTTTGAGTTGAATTAATTTTTATATGATATTAGAGTGATTTTTACAATCCCGTTATATTAAAAAATAATTAAGTATTATAAAAAAAATTAAAATAAGTAAGTGAACTTGTACATTACACATTAAATCAATGTATTTTTGTATGAGAAAATATGTTATAAAACTATAATATAAAATTATTAATATGATGATCAAAATTTAAGCTTTTAAACTAAATTGATTATAAATAATAAGGCAAATGATTTAAGCTTCAAAAGCTGAAAAAAAATTCTTTGTCACTAAAACAAAAGGAATGAGAGAGAAAGCATCAATTTTATATCTTAGTAACCGAGACATTTTTTCTGCTTTTAAAGTAGAAATTATTTGCCCTAAATAATATAGTATAAAATATGATAAAAGAAAAAAGAATGTGGACCCAATTAGTTTTAATTAGAATTGTTAATGGACAGCTTCGATAGCTTTTGTTGCATGTTTCTAGTTGATTCTAGGGTGAATGATTGGTTACTAAGAAACGCGTTTCTGAATCGGACATTTGCCACATTCTAACCCGCAAACATCTCAACACAAACGGAAACTAAAAAAAAGAAAAAAAAGAAAAAAAAAAAAAGAGAGAGAGAGAGAAATGAGTGACTCACGTTGAGTTGTGCCATGTAGTTCAAGCGAACGGTCTCGCTGTCGTGGCAAAGCTTGTCGAAGAACAAGAACCTACGGAGACCGTACCTCTTAACGAAATTCGCGAGACAGAGAAACGACAGCGCGGCGAGGGAGCTGAGGGAGAGTTGAACGACAGAGTCGTATGGACGAGAGTGTCGAGCGTCGCAGGTTGGGCATGCGAGAAGGAAGTGGGAGGCGGCGGGGACAACGACGGCGAAGAGGAGGAAAACGAACCATGAGAGGATGGTGGTGAGGAGGTTGGATTGATCGACGCACATCCATCGGAGATAGGTTCGGAAGCTGTGGAGCTCGTCGTTAACGTGCGAAACGCTTCGGTTGAACTTGCTCCTTCGATCTAATAGCGATTCCTTCACGTTGTTGGTGTTCGTGTTGTTGTCGTTGTTATCCATGGAAAGAAGAAAAAAAGAAAAAGAAAAGAAGGTGAACGTGAATTGGGGGTGTGATTTGTTGTGGGGGGTTTATAGTTTGTGTATATAAATAGGTTATTTCACAATTCCTAAATCTGAATTAATTCAGTGAAAAGCCTTAAATAATTTTATTTTTTATATTTGAAAAAAAAAAGATGTAGGAAGGGACAAAAATTAAAGGGAAGAAACAAAATGGCTTGATTTCATTGGCTCTGAGGTGGAACGTTGGTCTATGAGCTGGCTGATTTCTTGAAAATGGACACGTCTACATCTAATTTCAAAGATTTCAATCAACTCAATGAAATAAGGTATGTAGATATGTACAGCCAAGTTTATAAAATGATTTTAAAAAAATTAAAATAAAGGAGAGAATCAAATGTAAACTTGATGACACTGATTATTAATTGTTTATAAGTGAATCAATCATTAATAATGAATATAAAATATACGCTGATGTAAATGGATTCTTTCTTAGACTAATTTTTTTAAAATACACTATCAACGAAAAAAACTTTACATTTAAACTCAATGGCTAATATTAAATTAGGGGACGTTTGGTAGAGGAGAAATTTTTTTTTATCCGGGAATCTCGATTTTCAGAAATATAATTTTTACATTCAGTTTATGATAATATCCGAAAATTAAAAATTTAAAAAAATTCAATTTCTCAAGAATCCTAAAAAATAACTCGTACCAAACGCCCTGTCATTGTATATATAAAAATGTGTTTATAAAAAAAAATGTTAGTTTATAAAATTATCCAAATGCGATAATTGATAGTCATATTTAAAAATTGTATAAATCACGTTACATATTAGTGGCCGTAAAAGCAGCCACAACAAAAGAAATATTATATATATATATATATATATATATATATATATATATATATATATATATATATATATATATCAAATAAATTTAGTCAATTAGTATTTTCTTAATCAGGTGATAATTTTAAAGGTGCCGGAATTGAAAATGGATATTCTTATATGATCACATAATGTAAAATCTCAATCATTAATTTACATATAAGAATCACAATTTTAAGAAAGAAGAGGAAAGAATTATTTTAATTGATTACAATTGATCTAATAATAAATGATTAAAATTTTTCACACATTAAAAAAGCATAAAAGATTCATTTATGCTTATTTTTAAATGATATTCAATTTGCGCAAGTATTTCAATTTGGAATAGTTTGAATATTCGTTAATATATAGAGTATTGGCTTAATTACATTTTGAGTTGTGTTCTTCTTATAGTTGTTTGCTGTTTTTTCATATAGTTCGTTCGTTGTTGCCTTTTATTCTTGTAGTTTTAATAGTGTGAATTTTTTTTTTTTGGTGAAAGAAAAGGCTCAACAACCCAAAAATTAACTAAACAATAACAATATTCCTACAATTACTAACAGCACAAATATCAGCAAAACATAAACAACTAAGTCCAGGAGGAACTTGATTGAAATCTTTAGGATTCTCATAGGAGTGAATCATATGGTTGGCAAGTCAATCAGCACACTGATTTCCTTCATGGTAAGTATGTTGTAACTTAAGTTCCCAATCTTTATCCATCCAAGCCCGAATGCGAACAATAATATGTGACTCTCGGGCAGCATTACCATCTTTGGTAAGCAAAGTGATCACCGAAGTGGAGTAACTTTCGATTATAATTCTCTTGAATCCTTTCTTCCACACAAATTCCAAGCCTTTTAAGATACCCCTTTTATTCTTGTAGTTTTAATAGTGTGATTTTAGTCCCGTCACTTTAATTGTAAGATTTTGGTCCTTGCTTTTACTTATGTTTGATAAACCTTAGTACAACATTATAACAGTCAAAAAAATAGAACCATTTAATTATTGGTAAAAACTGTCAACCTCTCAAAAAATAGACTTATTGTTATAGAAGGCAGTGAGTGATATTAAATCACTAAGAAGTTTGAACCCATGTATAAAGCAAATGAGGTAGATGATCAGAATTATCACTGTGCAACTATAAAAATTAAAGAATAGACTTACTTGTCAGATATTTGAGACAGACAGAATGATGAAACAGATATGCAAAATCAGAAGGATAAAATCCGAGCCCACAGAACGTGTTTCCTTAAGACAATTTGCTCCCTCACTAATGCCAAAGGTAGATGGACACTCGTCTCCCAGGATAGAACGGATTTCGTCTGAAGAGTGGCGGCACTACCTGTCAACAGTCCAAATGAAAATAGCAGTATGCCAGAGGAAACTACACTGGAGTATGAACAGGAACATGCAAACCGGAAGGAGAAAAATTTCTGAAGGTGTCAGTGTCTATTTATAGACACTGATCGGTCATGATGAACCGCCGCCCACGGCGAACGGGTGCGACTGGTCGCCGGTTCGGTGAACAGAAACAACCGGTGACCGGTTTGATGAGCAGACACAGCCGTTGATCGGTTCATGAAAGGTAAGAACCGGTTCGGTTCAAAAACGCTCAAAAAACCGGCGAGTAGAAACGTTTGGGTTCGAAATTTTTGGAGGGAAGCAACGGATACATTTTTGGACAAAATATTAAAAAATTATTTAATAAAAATTATTTTTATTACACACATATGAACCGATCCGATCCGAGCCGACGTGTGGTGGACCTAAGCTCACCTAGCTCCTCCTCTGCACAAAATATGTAGTTACCCAAGGGCCAATCTATGAGAGTGAGGTGAGAGCTTATAAATTCTGTCACTTTTTACTATTTGTCCATGTGGGACTTTATTAAAACCCACACACCTCTTCATCTTTCCTTTTTTTCTTTTCTTTATTAACCTACTTCTTATTTATAACCAATGGATTATTAACATAAATTCCAACACTTATATCTAAGAAATAACTTTATAACAGTCATCAAACTAAGGGTGCTTTATTCAATTATTAATATCAATTCTTTAGTTTATCTTATACATTTTTAGTTGTTTAGAAGTTTTTTTGTTCTTTCTTTAAGAGGGGGTTTACGGAAACGAGATGTCTAAAGTGTAGTTCATACTTTCCATGGCAAAATGTAAAAAAAGTCACTAAACAATTTAAGATTGGATAAATTTTTAAATTTTGTAAATATAATTGTTGTATTGAAGATAGTATACCCTCTCACATTATTGTCTCAATTAAAGAAATGAAATCATGTGAACGTGAGAATGTGGGATACATGTGATGTATTGTGCCTCTCAATCATCGCAATCTTAGAAATTTTGTATAGTAAAAATCACCGAAAACAGCTGGTGGTGGGACCACAACACATGGGAATGGTAGAGTAAGAAATATAGGACCCAATCCAATGCATCCACTTGGATACCAATAATCATATGTGTAAGCATAAAGCCCCTGCTTTTGTGCAAACCATGAAGTCAAGCAATAAACAAAAGCAATGAACTTGCAACCTGGACTAATCTCATTTCAAAGATTTGTTTCTTTTGGAACCATTCCATTCCTCCAAATCATTTGTTAATACAAATGATTAATTACCATGATACCAAGTGAAAAGGGTTTGAAATTGTTCAGACCAGACAAATAGATTGGCATGAAGCACAACTTCATCATATGCTTCAGGTTCAATATGTTTTTCACCTATTTGTCGAAAATAGAATAATGTGAGTTTGTTTGATCTTGACAAAAACCTACTACACCACCAAATCTAAATTTTAGAAACATGATTGTGTATTGTAGCTCACTTCAAGGTTAAACTAAGAATTTCTGGTTAGGTTTGTGCCATGTTGATATATTCTTTCGTTCAACGTGTCAGTTGTGCATCGTTTTCAAACAGGTTGTGGCAAGTGTGTATGTTAGTACGTGATTATTATTATAATAATTGCCTAAAAAAATGTTAGTTAAATAGCATCCCAAATAATTATAGACATTTTGACCGTAAAAATTAAAATTTTAAGAAAATTTCTGAATCTCATCACGTCCATAAATTATTTAGGAAATTTATAATATTAATTACTCTTATGAGACTATTTTGACTAAGCTTCCACGTGATAGCACCTAATAAATACGTAGGTGATATTGACTCAAACATGTACAAGATTCTAGTATGTTTACAGCATTGTGACGGCTTTTTGACCCTTTTGCCCCTAATTAATTAATTAATAACCAATTTGCTCCTGATCAAGAACTATCCACCAACCTGCCCCCTTTTAGTCGACTACCTTGTTGTTTTAGTCGAACAAATGGTCAATCTTCAGAAAGTGGACTACCGCAAATATAGTCGACTAAAAAATCATCTTAATCGACTACATTTTTGGGATATTTAGTCGACTAAGTAACGATATTTAGTCGACTAAATATCGACGGATTTGTTTTTTAAAAACCCCCCATTCGGCAGAGGGGGAGTAAGATGACCTAATCGACTAAGGAGGCGGCCCAAACCCCAAATCCGCAGGAGCAGCTGAAGAACGCCCCAAACCCTTCCCTTAGGCGTGTGGATTGCCCCCAAATTTGGTCCAAATCGTGAAATCTGAAGGATAGGTAAGGTTTCTTAACTTGCATTGTGTTTTAGGTTTAGGAATTTTTTGTATTTGTTTGTTGTCCGAATTTGTGAACTCTAATCAAAGCGTTTGTTAGCGTTTGTTGTAGGTTTTGTAACCCTAATCTACTAAGGTTTATTTTTTTGCATTGTGTGAATTTTTTTGTTTGAAAAGTTTGTATGTGGCAAAAGTTTGCTTTTGGTTTACAACGCTTATGCTGCAAGTTTTCATTACCATCATGACATGTTTCATATAGTTAAATGCTGACATGTTTCATTGTAGGTACCCTAAACAAATGACGAGCCGCAGAAGACCGAGCGATGAGGGCAATGAGTCACTTGAGAGACGCACCAAGCATAGGCAAGAGCGACCTTCTTCGTCAAGGCGACAAGACGAAGAGCCTGATACTGTTGACCTCCCGTATGGGTATCTGTTTGAGGACGACCCTGCCGTCCACGCTTCATTCGTACGTGACCATTTGAACCGGCCGTTATGTGCTCCAAAATCTTTGGATACAGCCTTTTTTGATAAGGAGGGATTTGAAATTGTGGGGGTGTTGGAGGCGGCACATCTGAGAGTGTTGGCCGAGACCCTATGTCCGTATTCAGAGCTTATGGTGCGGGCCT